ACAATTCACAGCACTCACCATAGCACCTACCCTCCCCAATGTCTATCGCCCAGCCACCCCATCCCTCCCACCCCCCACCACTCCAGCAACCCTCAGTTTGTTTCCTGAGATTAAGAATTCCCCATATCAGTGAGGTCATATGATACGTGTCTTTCTCTGATTGACTTACGTCACTCAGCATAACACCCTCCAGTTCACGTCGTTGCAAATGGCAAGATCTCCTTCCTTTAGATGGCTGCATAATATTCCATTGTGTATATATACCACATCTTCTTTATTCATCTGTCGATGGACATCTTGGCTCTTTCCACAGTTTGGCTATTGTGGACATTGCTGCTATAAACATCAGGGTGCACGTACCCCTTCGGATCCCTATGTTTGTATCTTTGGGGTAAATACCCAGTACTGCAATTGCTGGATTGTATGGTAGCTCTATTTTCAACTTTTTGAGGAACCTCCATACTGTTTTCCAGAGTGGCTGCACCATGTTCTGCAGAGAGTTTTGAGCTAACTGCCACATGCCAGGCATTGTTTTCGGCACTGGGGTGTAGTGGTGAACAAGACAGATATAGGCCACTGCTTTAAATAAAGTAATTTTAGATGGAAAATGCTAGGAAAAGAAAATAGGAGAAGGTAATGTGATCCAAAGTGACTGGGGATGGGCAGCTTTAGAGTGTATTAGCAGGGAGGTAACCTTTGAACTGAGGCCTGCATGATGAGAAAGACTGGGAGCAGGGCAAGGGCCAGAGCCTGAGATGGGAATGAGTTTGGCCTATCAGGGCAGTGGGAAGCTGGCCAGAGATGCTATCAGATAGCTGGGCGAGGCCAACACATGGCCAGTCTTAGTGTCACCATCATTGTTATTACTTACCGCCCCATTTGGGTCTCAATTTCGTGGCTTCTCTCTTAAGTGGATTGGAGAGGGGCAGGGAGACCACATTTGGGATAGTGTTTCCCCGCCCGGCAAATCTGTTGTGAATAATCAGTAAAATGTGTCCTCACTGAGTTTTTGGACTCAGTAAACATCCTCTTGGGCTCTAACGAGGTGCAAAAATGATGGGCTCAGGAATGACTGGATGCTATCTCACTGATATGCGAGGGGGCACTAAACATTGCTCTTTGCAGGGAGTAGTCTAGTTTGGGCCCTCAACTTTTCTCATGGGGCAAAGTCCTTTTTATTTTTATTTATTTAAACTGCAGACTTTCGCTAGGGTTTTTATTATATACAAGAAAAAGTAAAGGATTGTGAAAACTCAACACTGTTGACAGGAAGAGAGGGAATCCAGGGATGATGGCTACAACCGAGTGCTGAACTGCACACTGAGCTCCCTGGTAGCCAAAGCAAAGAGAGAAACCAGATGAGCTATATATAATATTCTCAACCTGTCACTAGGGAGTTGATACTAGTCCTTAGCCAGGGAGGTTTAGGCCAGTGCCTCAGGCTTGCCTGTCTTGATTCTTCTCCCTTTTCAGTCCCCTTCTGTCCCCTCCTTTCTTCTTGTCAGTATACAGGGACTTACACCCCTTTCTAGCAGCATGTTCCCCTTGAGGCCAGGGATAGAGTCTGTCTTGCCCATAGTGAATTCCCTGGGACCCTTGGGGTCTCACATAAGAGGTCTTTAATAAATGTTTTTTGAATGAGTGAATAAATGAAGGTTACTATTAAGGCTTTGCTGTCCCGACTGCAACTCCTTACTTTTCTTCTTTCTTAGCCTCCCCTTTTCACTTCCTTTTTTCATGACTTTGTCTTTTGCTGGTGGGCTCGTTGGGGGCTGTGAGCACTCACTCTCTCTCTGCATTGTGGGAGAAGCCATTTATTTCTGTCTTCCCAGAAACCAACCTCCCATTCTTCCCTCTGATGGTATCTGCTGGTACCTTCCCTTCAGTGTCCTGGATGGGTGCTCCCTGCCGCCGGGGGGTTAAGGGACTACAGCACCACCAGGCGAGCATTTTTCCTCACTTTGGGCATGTTACTTTGCCTTTCTGAGTCTCAGTTCCTCCATCTGGCAGAAGCTAATTAATATTTCCTTCCTATGCTGCTAAGAGGATCCAAAAACAACTTTTAAAATATTATCATTTTTAGCATTTTATTAAAGACCTTTAGAAATTGGCCTTTTTTAAAGCAATTTGTTCAGTTAAAATTTTATTATTAAAAATTTTAAACATACATTTGAGATTAATATAACAAATGATTTTATACCCATCATTGAGATTCAACATAACTATTTTTTTTTTATTTTTTTTATTGTTATGTTAATCACCATATATTACATCATTAGTTTTTGATGCAGTGTTCCATGATTCATTGTTTGTTCATAACACCCAGTGCTCCATGCAGAACGTGCCCTCCTCAATACCCATCACCAGGCTAACCCATCCCCCCACCCCCCTACCCTCTAAACCCTCAGTTTGTTTTTCAGAGTCCATTCAACATAACTATTTTTAATTGCATAAATAACATGAATAGAGTTTCATTGTAAAACATTTAAATAAAAAGAAAGAAAATATGGTAGCAGAAATAAAGTAGCCAATAGCAGGGTTTGAAAGATAGGGTCAAGGAAATCTTTGAGAAAGTAGAAAAAAAAATAAAGGTATGGAAAAGAGGAGAGAGAAAAAATAGGGAAAGTAAAAGATCCACCTAGGAGGCCCAACAGAAGAAATACAGGATAGAGAAAATGGAAGGGAGTCCATGGTCAAAGGAGTAATTACAAAAATATTTTCCAGACCTGAAGGACCTACATTTCCAGATTTTAAAAAACCTACTGAGGAGCTCCTAGGTGGCTCAGTCGGTTAAGCAACTGACTCCTCCTCGGGTCTTGACCTCAGGGTCATGAGATCAAGTCCCACGCTGGGCTCTGAGCTCAGCAGGGAGTCTGCTGGAGATTCTCGGACTCTGCCCCTCCCGCTGCACACACTAAATAAATAAGTAAATAAAATCTTTTTTAAAAATTTAAAAATAAATACCTTTAGAACTTAAAAAAATTCAAAGATTTTAATTAAGTTTTAAAGAAAACCCTTTGCCTGTTTTCCACTCTCCTCTCTAGAAATGATTATGTTGTGTAGACCTTGAGGACTTTCCTAGGCTTTTTACACATATGTAATGTGCACATAGACATAGGTTTATTTATTCACATGTCTATTTAGCATTGAATAGTATTATACTGTTTGCATTGTTCTACAACTTACTTTTTTTTTTTAAACTATATGCCTTAGACACCTTCTTATCTTAGAATATGCAAGTCTGCCTCCTTTTTACCTGCTTAGTCTGAGTATGGCTATCCTGTGGCTAATTTATATCTGGATGTTTTCCAGTTTTTCACTATGACAATTTCACAGTACACATTCTTGCCTATGAGCCTGTGCTCAGTGCACACATGTTTCAGGAAAATACTTTGAGTTGGATTTTCCGGGTTCAAGGGCTTGCACATTAAAATTTATAATGATAATTGTCAGATTTCCTCCAAAAGGTACTAATTTATTCTCCCCAAAATACAAAGTACTCATTCCCTCACCTTTCGCTAATACTGGAAATTATCCTTTTTTGTTGTTGCTGTTGTTTTTTGCTTTGTTTTTTTTTGTTTGTTTGTTTTTGGTTTTTGACAGTCTAGTCAGTGAAAAGTAGAAAAGTGTTAACTTGTTAGATTCTAACTTCCATTTTCTCGATTATCAGTGATTCCAAACCTGTTTCACTTTCTTTATTGGCCATGTGTATTTTCTTCTCTGTGAGGTGCTTGTTAATATTTTTTTAGTTTTCTTTTAAGTTGTTTGTCTATTGATTTGTAAGAGGTCTTAAAATACTAGGAACTTTAGAAAACCTACTGTCTCTTTATTTATGTCTCAAATATTTCCCCCAGCCTATCACTTGCCTTTTAACTTTCTTTACGATGTCTTTTGAAATACAGAAAGCTTTATTTATTTATTTTTTTGTAAGCCAACATATTGATTTTTTCTTTGTGGTTCTTTCTGCGTTTTTGAATTTTGCTTAAGAAGTTCTTCCCTACCAAAAGTTTAGTTATAAATGAATTTTTAGGTTTTTTTTTTTTTAAATGCCTACTTCTTTAATCCACCAGGACTTTATTTTTGTGTATGGCATGGTGGCAGCTCTTCGGAAAATGCTGTTTCTGGTGGGACATTCTGAGACCCCCAGCCTTCCAGTCCCTTCCATCTGGAGAGCCCACAGGCTCCATCCACTGGGTTAATGTCCCTCCAGCCCCTTCCTGATGCTTCTCCCCTGTTCTGTTCCTCACTCATGGTGGCACCATTCTCCCAGCTCCTAGGCCAGTCATCCATTCTCTCCCAACCCCCACAGGCTCTTCTGAGGACTCTTCTCCCAAGGGTCTTTGGCCCTTATCATCTCTTTCTCCAGTGGAGCGCCAGTTCCTCCCAAGTCTGGGCTCGTTCTAATGCGTCCTCCAATTTTGCATCCAGAGGGATCAGAAAATACACATGGACAAAACCCAAAACGCTGGTCCTGTCACTTGCCTGCTTCAATGCCTCGTGACTTCCCATAGCACTTAGGATAAAGTTCTAACCTCTTAACCTGGTTTATGAAGTCTTGAGCCAGCCCACCCAGCCTTGATTAACTTAAGGGGTCTCAGCTTAGGGCCCACTCTGGGAACCCTCACCTGTCCCCCTCCGGCTGTGTTAAGGGCCCCTGCTCTAGGTACCACAGCCCTTGACCTCCCAGTATCACAGCACTTAAATCCCAGCGAGACTCAGAGCTTCTCCAGGAGAAGGATCAGAACTACATCCTGTGCACCGCCGTGTCTCCAGCGCCTGGCACCGGAGAGCGGAGCCGGCCGGCAGCTAGTTCTCCGCTGTGGCTCGGTGGGGAGTACGGAGGCCAGAGAGGGGGATGTTCCCCAGGGCCCGGCCGCCGAGCGCCTCCCTCCCGTCCCCCCCCCCCCCGGCGGCGCCGGCCGCCGGCCGCCCCCCTCCCGTCCCCCCTCCCAGGGCCCGGCCGCTGAGCGCCCCCCCTCCCGTCCCCACTCGGTCCTCAGGGCAGACGGCACTGAACATCGCCATCGAGCGGCGGCAGGGAGACGTCACCGCCCTGCTCATCGCTGCGGGCGCCGACGTCAACGCCCACGCCAGGGGTTTCTTCTTCAACCCCAAGTACCTGCACGAAGGCTTCTACTTCGGTGGGTGCTGCGCACGCCCGGCACGGGCTCCCCGACCACCCCCACCCCAGTCGGCCCTGGTGGGCCGGCCTGGAGCCCCCACTGCGGGTTCCTGCCCGCCCGAGCGCGGACCCGTGGACCCGTCTGGGGCCCAGCGGGACAGAACCGGGACCCGGGAGGCCACGGGGCAGAGCCTTCGGAACGGGTGCAAGCAGGCGTCCACTGGAGCAGCCCTGGATAGGGAACAGAGACCTGGGAGAGGGAGCAGGGAAAAAGTCCAATCTTAGAGGCCAGGAGACAGGTTCTGGGAGGGGAAATGATTTGTCCGGTGTAGTAAGGAGCGCCCAACTCCGCCTCTGCCCCTGTGCCCAGTGCTTTCCAGGACTGCAAACTCGGAGTCAGAAGTAAGAGAGGCAAATTCCTTCACTGACGAGTTAGGGAGTTCCAAAGCAATCGGGGTTAGGATGCTCTGGGTGGAAAAAAGATTGTAATGCCTATTTTAGATACGGTGAAATTCACCCGTTTTCACAGACAGTTCTGTTCAGCCCCACAAATGCATCCAGTTATGTGACCACCACCATGAAGACAGGGTGTAAATAGTTCCTTCACACCAGAAACTTTCCCCCCACAACTTTGTCAACCCCTTTCCCATTCCAGCTCTTAGCTGACAACGACTGACCTGTTTTCTCTTCTGGGTGGTTTTTGTTTGTTTTTTATCAGTAGGACTAGATGGGTCTGAGCAGCCATGAGGACAGGGTCTTGTCCAGTCCACTGTCCAACGTCAGACCCTGTTGGAGCCAGTGTTGGGAAATGTCTGTCCGGTGGGATGAAGAGAGGGAACAAGAGGGAGACTGGAAGGGAAAGAGTAGGAGACCTGCTGTCCAGTCCTGGTTCCATCCCAGGCTTGTTGTGTGACCACGTGTGAGTCACCTGCCTTCTCTTTTCTTAACAAACATTTATTGATCACTTACTATATACACCAGGCACTGTTCTAGGTGTTTGAAATATATTAGTCAACAAAACAAAGATCTCTACCCTCATGGAACTTACATTCTAGACTGGAGGAAAACCATCAATAATAAACATAATAAATAAGAACACTATGTAATATGTTAGAAAATGGAAGTGCCATGGAAAAATAAAAAATAAGACAGGGAAAGGGGGTCGGGAGTTCCAGGTCAGGAAGGAGGTGGATTTCAATTTTAAATAGTGTGGTTAGGGTGACTCATTGAAAAGGTGATGTTTGAGCAAAGACTTGGAGGAGGTGCAGGGATGCACAATGCAGATACTGAGAAATAGCACTATAAGCAGAGGGAACAGCCTGTGCCAAGGCCCTGAGGTAGGAAAAATGCCTGGTATGTTCTAGGAAAAGGAAGAAGACCATTATGGCCAGAGAGGAGCGAGTGGGGTAAGAGAGGAGATGGCATCCGAACATGCAGGGCCTTGTGGGCTGTTGTTGGAACCCAAGCTTTTATTCTGGGGGAGGTGAAGCTTATGTGTTACTAGGACCAGTCTGACTGCTGTGCTGAGGATAGTGATGGAGGGCCAGGGTGGTAGTAGGGAGACCAGTTAGGAGGTTATGGCAGTGATCCAGCTTTAGTCTCCCTGCTCTCCCCATCCAAGGGGGAAGATGGGGAGAAGTACAGGGAAGCTTGGGGGTCAGTCGTGCTGGGGACATGGGCTTCAGTCCTAGGGCTTGGGGAACACTGGGCAGGTCTATGAGAGAACTGAGCTCCAGTGCTCCCCCCCTGCCCTAGGCGAGACCCCACTGGCCCTGGCGGCATGTACCAACCAGCCCGAGATTGTGCAGCTGCTGATGGAGAATGAGCAGACAGATATCACCTCGCAGGACTCACGGGGAAACAACATCCTACACGCACTGGTGACGGTGGCTGAGGACTTCAAGACGCAGAATGACTTTGTGAAGCGCATGTATGACATGATCCTGCTGAGGAGCGGAACCTGGGAGCTGGAGACCATGCACAATAACGACGGTCTCACACCGCTGCAGCTGGCCGCCAAGATGGGCAAGGCCGAGGTGGGGCCTCAGGGGTGGGAAGGAGGACAAGGGGGCTCTCTGCCAGCTCTTGGGCCTTTCTGGGGACCCCACAGATTACACCTTGGCCAGGGGAAGGTCAGCCTTCCGTCTGGAAGTGCATTTGTGGCCTGGGGTGGGTTTGTTCTGAGTGACTGCGCAGAGATGCGGCACGTGGGAACGCCCTCTGGACTTCAGTCCCTAACACTCCATGTGTCTATGCCCTGCTCTGGAGCTCCCATCTGGGGTCGGAGTGGGGGACCTTGAAGGCCATGGTGACACAGTACCTCACAGGCTTTGTGGCTGAGGGTTCCCGTGTGGTGAGGCACCCAGGCGGAGGCTGTGTCTGACCCTCTCATGAAGACAGGAGTCCCAGAATGGCTGCTCTGGATCCAGAGCCAATGGGCTGCCTGAATCTGGAGAGACCACTGTCTGTCGTGTTGAAACTCTGAGCCAAGTCCTCAGCAGAGAGTATGGCTACTTGTGGCCCTTTGCACCCTGTGTGGAGTGGCTGAGGAACTCAGGGCTTAACCTTGGTGAAGACTCGGGCTGGGGTGGGCTCCCATCTCTCTTGGTGCCTGGAGTCACAGCTTGGTCTAAGATCAAGGTCAGGACTCAGGTGGGCCCGAGGGCAAGGCTCAGAGAAGCTTGCTCCTCAGCCTCCATGTGTCCAAGCCCTGGGAGGGGACTGAGGCTCCTGGGAGGCTGTGGAGGACTGGCTGGGTGCAGTCACAGCTGTGCCAGCCTCAGGGCAGCTGACAGGGGAGGCGGGTGCCTCAAGGGCCTTGGGTCCGGTCCCAGTGGTCAGGGCTGGGGCCCACAAAGGACCTTTTCATTCTCTTGTGGGGGAAGGAAGGGTTGGAGATTGGCTTTGACAGAGGAGGAATTGTGTGCCTTCCCACCGTCCCCACCGTCTCCTACCCACCCCCGGGAACAGTTTGTGGGGGGCTTTGAGGAGAGTCAGATTAGGAGGGTTGCAAGTGGAGCTTCCTGTAAGCCGCTGGGGCATGTGTTCTGCCTGCGTGGACCATGGCCCCATGACCCTTTGATTTTCTAGAGGATGATGTGCTCCCCCATGGCCAGTCCTGGGGAGGGGACTCCCCCATTCCTGGCCCTTTCTCTTCTTCGTTCAGTGTTCTTTGGAAAACCTTTCTGGATGCTGCCCAGGTTGACCACTGTGCTGGGAGTGGAGGGTGCAGAGATGCTTACAACACAGACCCTGTTCCTTGGGGCTCTTTGAGGCTGGGGCTCAGGATGGGGAGACTGGTCCTGTGTCTGGAGTTTCTCTGCCTGGACTGTGAGGACAAGGCTCCCATATGAGATGAGATGGGAACCCCACTGGGTTGTGTGAGATCAGGGCTCTGACACTGTTCTCCCCAACGGGACCCTCTTCCTGGGCCTTGGGTTGGTGCCCCAGGAAGCCCTGGCCCCAGTTTTGGAAAGCGATGAGCTGGAGAGCAGTTGCCCTCCACCTTGCCTGCACTTTGGAACCACCCACGGAGCTTTACAAAATACAGATGTCTGGGTCCCACCTGCAGAGGTCTGGACAGAATTCGTCGGTGGTGTGGGATTGTCGAATGTTCCTCAGTGACTCTACTGTGCGTCAGAGTTTGAGGATCACCTGGAGAGTGGGTTTCTCAGGCCTCTCTGCTAGGCTGGCATCTTGTATCACCCCGTCTGGCCCACAGTGAGCCTCAGCTGGAATGGTCTTGACTGAGGGTGGTACGGGGAAGCTGGGAAAACTTCTAGTTTCTTCTCCATCCAGGTCAAACAAATTATTTCTCAAAATTGGCAGTTCCCGGATGCTTCACTGAATGGGGTCCCCAACTGGTACGAGGGTTTATGAGCTGATTAGCTTTCTGCGTCCCGCCAAGGGCCCCCACACCCTTTGTCCCTTGTATTCTCAGTCTCTGGTGAATTGGGCAGAGCCCCGAGGTTCACACCCATTCCGCAGATGAAGCCCAGCCCAGGCGTCATGGTGTCAGGGCCAGAGGTGGGACTCAATCCGTCCAGGTGGAAGCATCTTCCCAGCCCAGTTCTACGGCTGTTCCTCTTTCTGTCCCCAGATCTTGAAGTATATACTCAGTCGTGAGATCAAGGAGAAGCCCCTCCGGAGCCTGTCCCGGAAGTTCACTGACTGGGCATACGGGCCTGTGTCATCATCACTCTATGACCTCACCAATGTGGACACTACGACAGACAACTCGGTGCTGGAAATCATTGTCTACAACACCAACATTGATGTGGGTCTCTCAGGAGGGCTGGAGAAGGGCCGGGGATGAGGGGCGGGGCCTCAGGCTGCCCTTGGAAGATCCATGCCACTAGCTGGACGTGTCTGTAGTCCCCCATTCCTTTGCCTCAGTGGGCAGAGTCAACACAGAAAGGGCAGGGCTAGGGCAGGTGCTGTGTTTACCTGTTCCCAGCTGACCTTGCACTATAAACCTCTGTGGTGGGTGTCTCCTGGCCCCAGAATCCTGGGCAGTGTGAGAGTGGGGATGGGATGATTGCTGTTGATCTTCTCCATCTTGTTTCTCCCTCTCTTCCCTAATGGTTCTGTAATCTACCCTTCCTCCCAGAGAAGGCACAGCTGGAGCAATCCGGGAGGCCTTCCTGGAGGAGGCAAGAGGGGGGGGGAACATCAGTGAAGCTGGAGGGGAAGAGAGAGCATCAGCAGGGAGAGGTTTTCAGCTTTTGGGGGGAAGTGAGGCAGCAGACTGGAACTTCATCCTCCACATGTTACCAAGAGTCATGTTTACCAGAGCCTGCCTTGTCTGGGGTCTCCCTGAAGGCTCACGGCAGCCTGGTTGATAGGGTAGTTTGGTTGATATCAGTTTTATGGATGAGGAAACTGAGGCCCTGGGAGTGTCAGGGGTTTCCCTAAGGTTACACAGTAAAGGGGCCAAGTTGGGGCAGTCACGGCCCTTCCCCCTTGCAGCCCTTGCTCCCCACTGAGCAGCAGGTACTCCCACTGGAAGCCTAGCTCCTGTGGGGTTTGGCTGCTGCCTGGGGGCACTGGGAAGGAGCCTCAGGAGCTAGAAATTACCTTCCCAGCATTTCCAGCCACACCAGTCCATGGGACAGAATGGCCCCTTCTGCCATGGGTGGGGCGGACTCAGAGTTCCCTTTGGAATGAGGGCCCTTTAAAAATGGTGGTGGTGTTCTGCCCCCCAGAACCGGCATGAGATGCTGACCCTGGAGCCCCTGCACACACTGCTGCATATGAAATGGAAGAAGTTTGCCAAGTACATGTTCTTCTTGTCCTTCTGCTTTTATTTCTTCTACAACATCACCCTGACTCTGGTCTCCTACTACCGCCCCCGGGAAGAGGAGGTACGTGGGCCCCTGGAGGGAGGCGGGTGGGGTGGTCAGAGCTCCAGGAGCTTGGAGCAGTCCCATGTGCAGGTGAGGAAACTGAGGCCCAGAATGACCAAGACATTCGCATGGTGTTCCCCGGCAGTCATCCTTCACAGCTTCTAGGGAACTGAATATGTCTCTAGTGCTTAGCTATTGTGGGGAGATCCGGAAGGTTGGGAGACGCAGGCCCTGCCCAGGCTCCACCTAAGTCTAAAGAGCTAATTGGGTGTTTCTGCTGTGAGGGCCACAGGAAATGGGGGGTCCCCCCACTCTGGGCCTCAGTTTCCCATTCATTACACAGGGCACAGAGCTTCAGCTTTGAGTGTCCTTTAAGTGTCTGGATATGAATGGGTTCTGGAATGAAAAAATGCCACGAGGTGTGAGGGGTTGTTAGCATGGATTGGATTGTTTCCCTCACCATAGAGTTCTGGGTCCCACTGTGGGTGGGGACAGGGGCAGGAAGCTGCCGTTCTTTCTCTCACATTGTACAGAGCCTGGGCTTCGTGCTGGCCTCTGGCTCAACCAGAGGGTTTGGCCTGTGTCTGTGCATCCTACACCCGGAGCTGCCATTACCCCTGCCTTCCTCACTCCCCATCTTGCACCCATCCATTCCTTCCCTTCTTCCCAGGCCCTCCCGCACCCGTTGGCCTTGACGCACAAGATGGGGTGGCTACAACTGTTAGGAAGGATGTTCGTGCTCATCTGGGCCCTGTGCATCTCTGTGAAGGAGGTGAGTGGGCCACTAGGCGCTCTGCACTTGCCTGCGGGGGGCAGGCAGGGGGGCAGCAGGCCTGGCTGTGATCGGCCCTGCTCTGCCTTACCACAGGGAGCACTTCCTTTCTAAGCTTTCCATTTCTTAGTTACAAAAGGAGAATAAGTAAATCACTAGGCCTGTCCCGCCTACTTAATCTATCTGCCCCTCCATCCCTCTGTCCATCTATCAGCCATTTATATACCCTCCCAGCCACTCGGTGGCATATCTTCCTGTCCCTCCATCCACACATTCAGTCACTTCTCTCGTTGACCCGGCCATTCAGCTGGGTTTATCAATCAATCCCTTATCAACCCATCCATCAACCAATGAATCAATAGGTATCTTCTGAACACCTTCTATATGTGGAGCCCTGGGAGAGGTGAGAGGGAGGGAGGGAGTTTGTCCTCTTTAAACTCGCAGCCTTGCGGGGAGTTTCAGACAGGCACAAATGCCTGGACTCCAAAAGAGACTATGCAAAGGGCCCTGTGTAGGGTTCAGACCAGTGCCCCGAGGAAGAGAGATGACTCCTCTATGGGGACAGCAGCGGGGGAAGGCTAGGAAGCAGAAATGACATTTAGTCTGTGAGGGTGGGCTTTGGCACGAGGACATTTGAAAGGAGGTCATGACAGGGTGGGCATGGGGAACAGCTTTAAAAAAGGCTCAGAGGCAGGAGAGCTAAGCCATATCATTTTTTGTCTTTTTTTTTAGTTAAAATTTTAATTTGAATTCCAATATAGTTAACATACAGCGTTATATTCGTTTCAGGTGTACAATATAGTGATTCAGCAGTTCTGTACAGGACTCAGTGCTCACCACCGCAAGTGCCCTCCTGAATCCCCTTCACCTGTTTCCCCGACCCCCCACCCGCCTCCCCTTTGTAACCATCAGTTGTTCTCCATAGTTAAGTGCCTGTTTCTTGCTTTGTCTCTATTTTTTCTCTTTGCTCCTTTGTTTTGTTTCTTAAATTCCACATGTAAGTGAAATCATATGGTATTTGTCTCTCTCTGGCTGACTTATTTCCCTTAGCATAATACTCTCCAACTTAACCCATGTCATTGAAAATGGCAAGATTTTATTCTTTTTCATGGCTGGGGAGTAGTATTCCATTGTATATATATCACATCCTCCTTATCCATTCATCTATCAAAGGACATTGGGGCTGCTTCCCTAGCTTGGCTGTTGTAGATAATGCCGCAGTAAACATAGGGGTGCATGTATCTCTTTGATTTAATGTTTTTGTTGTTTGGGTAAATACCCAGTAGTGCAATTACTGGATCGTAGGGTAGTTCTGTTTTTAACTTTCTGAGGAAGCTCCATACTGTTTTCCAGAGTGGCTGCACCAGTTTGCATTCCCGCCAACAGTGCAGGAGGGTTCCTTTTCCGCCACATCCTCACCAACACCTGTCGTTTCTTGTTTTTGGCTTTAGAAGTGAGGCTGTATTGGGGGAATGGCAGGGGATGGTGTGACTGGGCTGTTTTGCAGGGTCCGGGTAAGGATGAGGGGGAGAGTGAGCGAGGTGAGATGATTTGGGGGTGCAGCCACTTCTACCCTGGATTGCCTCTACTCCCAGGCTCAGGTCCCCTTCCATATCCCTCACCTGGGCTCTGGCTTGGCCTTCCCACCCTCCCCCCCACTGGGTCTCAGGCCTGAGGAAACACCACCTTCCTCAGATCTTCCAGTGAGAGGCATGAAGAGGGTGCAGGTTTTCTTTCCTTTTTGGCCTCAGGGCATCGCGATCTTCCTGCTGAGACCCTCGGATCTGCAGTCCATTCTCTCTGATGCCTGGTTTCACTTTGTCTTGTAAGTAGGTCTGTCCCATTTGGTCCCCACTGCACAGGCAGGGCCGAAGTCCTGTATGGCAGCTTCTGTGTCCTCTGGAACAAGCATCCTCCCATGTCACCATGTCCCAGCTGTTCTGCCATAGTCTCATGGCCAGGGACCTACTCTGTCCCTTCTAGTAAGAGAAGCCCATGGATGCCCATGGAGAGGACCAGAAGACCCCAGCAGAGTGCCCACCGTCAGGTTGCAGTGATGACCGTCTCCACCCTGTCATAGAGCCCTGCGTGGTGGGTGTGGCCGAGAAGGCAGGACAAGGCTTAGTAGTGCTGTCTACTTCTCTATGACGGGGTAGTCCGGGCCCGTTCCTCCTAGTTGTGTGGGGTCTAGAGGTTGCCATCTTGGACTCTGGCGGAGCAGGGCCGGAGAGCCCTAGAGAAATCATCAAGTCTCATCCGCAGGCATGAAACCCGAAGCCCAGAGCGGGGAAGTGAGTTACTCACAGTCTGGCAGAGCCTCAGTGGCGTCAAAGCCAGCCCCAGCCTCCCAGTCATCTTCACCCTATGTTAGGGCACGGTTGCCTACCCTGGAGCCCTGGCCAGAAAGCCCGGCTCAGCAGCCTCGCGGAATGAGGTCATGGGCAGCTAACATCAGAGGCTTGCGTGACGCCTGTCCCTAAATGAACAGAGGCAGATTCAGCATTGCTGCCACGTGAATGGAACAGGACTTGCCGTGTGGAATGAAGGAGGTTGGGCTCCAGAGCTCTATCGATCCCACCAAAGTCCGTCTTCGGAGCATTTGGGAAGCTGGGTCTATAGGACCTGAAATCTTGGCCCAATGTTTCCAAATACCTCGGTGTTTTATTAAGTATGTACCTGCCTTCTAGAGTCGTGAATGGAATTCTTCATCCCTGTGGGCAAGTGGGGTGCCCAGATACTGCAGTGAGTAGATGAACCCCATGATGTCAGCCACATGGGAGTCTCCGCCTTTGAGAAAATATGATAATTCCAGAGAAGAATTCATTTATCCGGCCGCTGGCTTTCGTGCAGACAAAAGGCACCAGCGCATTGTCCTGCTTTTCTGCTTCTTAAGTGTTTTGTTAGTGGTGAGGAAGGTGAACACCTGCTTCCTCACTTCAGTCCAAAAAAATGCATCGATCACCCAAACATTTGCTTTTCACTGCACAAGAAAAGCAAGTTTGCCTGTGTCCTAACTTTAATGAGTTATTTTATAATCATGGAGACTGTGTGATGTTACAAGCAATAGAGCTTTTTATCTAGAGGTCTGCATAACTGATGGTGTAGTAGTCCTGTTTAGCAGTAGATTTTGAGCCTGTGTGTTTGTTATACATGGTACTTAAAAATGTTAATGGTGGTAGAATCTACATAACATAAAAGTTGCCGTCTTAACCACTTTAAGTGTACAGTTCAATAGTGCTAAGTACATTCATACTGTTATGGCACCAATCTGTTTAGGCTATCTATCATTTAGCATATACTGTAGTTTTTAAAAAGATTTTAAAAAGCCGGTTGTGGGGGACTTTTGTTATGACTGGCTTTTAAGTACAGACGTTGTTAGCTTTTGTCATTTTTGTTGAAAATGCAATCGTTTGCTTATCTGCCTTAGTCTACACCAGTGGTTCCCTGACCTGTGGGGGATGGGCTCCTGAGCTGGAGTCTCCTCGAGTCCTGGGGATCTGCCTTAGTCTACACCAGTGGCTCCCTGACCTGTGGGGGATGGGCTCCTGAGCGGGAGTCTCCTCGAGTCCTGGGGATTGTGCTTTTTAAACGTCCCCACCAGCTCTTGCCAGCCCACTGCCGGCTCTGACTCGCAGCTGGGGCTGCCGTCTGCAAGGCTGGGTGTCAGACACTGGCGGCCTCCCCAGCCTGTTCAGCACGACCCATCGGGGTGCCGCTCCGGGGCTTGAGGGAGGCAGGGGCGCGAGGGCCTGCCCCGACGTCCAGGGCTTGAGGGAGGCAGGGGTGGAGGGCTCGCCCCGCTGCCGAGCAGAGGTGAGTAAGGCCCTTGTCCCTGCGTCTCCTGAACAGCTTTGTCCAAGCCGTGCTTGTGGTGCTGTCCGTCTTCTTGTACTTGTCCACCTACAAGGAGTACCTCGCCTGCCTTGTGCTGGCCATGGCCCTGGGCTGGGCAAACATGCTCTACTACACGCGGGGGTTCCAGTCCATGGGCATGTACAGCGTCATGATCCAGAAGGTGCGTTGGAGGCTCGTGAGCATCACAGATGTGCGGGCTCAGCATTGGGGGAGCCTCAGGGAAGGTCCATCTTTCAGATGGAGAAACGGGTCTGGACACAGCAAAAGGGGCTTGTCCCTTGGGCAAGCCTCTGCTCTTTCTACCAAACACCACCATCTCCCTTTGCTTTTGGCCAGGCTTTCAGTTTCCAGACCTTAAAACACCTGGGCCTGTTGGGCACTGGGAAGGAATGGTCTCCCCCCAGGCAGTGGTGTGCTGGTAAATATTTAACAACCAGCTCTCTGGGGAAAATGCACATACACACGCATAGACCCCAGCTACTATGTTCATGATACATTTTTACCACGGAAAGGATGAGTAGTGCATGATTTACAAATAATGAACTATATAATGCTCTTTATTGTAAATCCCACGTAGCTAGTTGAATCTGGCAGAATGATTTGTTGATTTTTCTTGAATTCCTATATCTGTTGCCAGTCTATGGGTGCAAGTGACAGAGAGTGTTGTTGAAACATCGATACCAGTTGATGTTTTCCTTAAGGAGTTAGATGAAAGTGAAACAGTGCAGCCTTCTGTGAGAACTTCCCTTGTTTGTCAGCGATGTGAGCCACTTATTTGCTGACTTGGATCATAGTTTTACAGATTTTGGAAGACTCTTTCATTAATGTTACTATGTTATTCACGACACCTCAGCTACAGATAGGACACATGTTAAAGTTTCATCTGCCTTAACATTGTCTCCATCGCTGTCTTAAATCTAGATCTAGACAATCAGCAAAATAATGAGTCTATGATTTGTCCCATTTACTAATTTCCATGGTGTAAATCCTACCACGGCTGATTTCCAGCTACCGGTATGACAGAGTTGAACACAGAGGCAGGAAGAGATGCATAGTAACACACGATACAGTATGTGTACCACATGGCTGCCAGAGATTAAATAACCTTAATAGCATACGTAATTGTAAAATGAGCTATGAGTTTTGAATATTTATTATCTTTGCTTTTAATATAATTTACTTAATTATAAGTTTATGTGATTTAATTTTTAATAATGGTTCTGTTTAACAGCCGGCTTACAAAATTCATGAAAATGTAACCGTCAGCTCTTAGGAGCTGGCGTCAGCAGGCTCCAGCACACCACTGCCCCCGGGGAGTGTGAGGATTTCAGACGTGAGACACTACGAAGGAAGGTGCTCACGTACAGGGTGGATCATCAGGGACAGAGACAGACTGTGTGCCAGGAGGGAGGAGAGCAGGAACGGAAGCGAAGGCTTCTTGGAGGAGATGGGGCCCAGAGCTGAGCGTTGGAGCATCAGAAGGATTTGCTAGGGGAAGGGAGAATGGTCTGAGGGAAGGCACGGTTAGGGCTGGGGCTGGGTGAGGGTGGGAAGCAGTAAGGAGATCAGGGTCTAGTGAATATGTGCTCAAATCTTACCCTTGAATCATGTTTCTCCCTTTATAGGTCATTTTGCATGATGTTCTGAAGTTCTTGTTTGTATATATCGTGTTCCTACTTGGATTTGGAGTAGGTAATTGATTTATAAATAATAGGGACTCCCACATTTGTAAAGCACCTAATACAGATGTCAAAATGACAGAGCACGCAGCAGCCTCAGCAACTTATGTCACCTGCTGGTGGAGCACTTGCCATGCTTAGCATTTTCCAAGCATTGTCTTTTTATTTCTCTCAATATCTCGACCAAGGGGAAGTCATCATCCCTGATCATAAGGTAACTGAGGCTTAGAACCAGACCTGTCACTCTTGTCTGTCTACTCTGGTCCTGTGGGGTATGCCTCCCACATTGACAGCCAGCATCCTACGTGGCCCTCACAACCTGAGAGAGGCTTGGCAGGTGGTTTGGGCTCCATTTTACAGATAGGGAAACTAAAGTTTGCAGAAATATGACTGATGGTCTTTAAAAAATAAGAGTAAATTAATGCATCAAGGTAAGCTCCTTTGACCCCCCACATCATGTTACTTGCAGTTTGCTTCAGATATATCTGTGAGGGCCTCTGCTCTCCTGGGGACTGAGGATGGGGAGGCCCCTCCTAAAGTCTCTTCCTTTGTACAACCTGATTTTATTTCTAGCTTCTGCATAGAGAGGTATCATTGTATTTTCCCATGGCAGCTCTCCATCCCCCCTATGCCCCCCCCCCCCCCGTGATCATTGGCATTTGAAATTAGGCAGGCATTCCCATCTTCTGGTGTCTTTGCTGGGCCACAATGTGCTTATTTATTTGCTTCTTCACTTGCCTGTTTATTCATCCTTTCATTTACTCATTCATTAATTTGACCATTCATCCATTCGCCTGTCTATACATTTAGCAATGAGCCACTGCTGTGGTGTGTTGGAAGGGAGAGAAGAAAGAGGCCCAGGTCTAGGCCAGGGGTTCTCCCCACAGAGCATGAGGAAGAAACTCAGGACCTTACGGTCTTGGAGGAGATGGCCCAGGCTACAGGAATTTGGGAGCCCAAAGCCTGGTTGGGGAGCCAGGGGACGCACATAGATTATAGTTAGCAACTCTGCAAGGCTGTGAGTGATCAAGGGCTGAATGGCAGGGTAGGGGAGGGAGAAAAGAGTGTGGGCTTTGTTAGGCAGGAAGCGCTTTTTGCAGGAGGTCAAGGCAGAGAACCAGCCTGATGAGGCTTCCAGGAGCTGAGGCTGGAGGTGAAATCTAAATGACCAGAGGGGATGAGGCAGTAGGCCTGCAGTGTGTGTGTGTGGCTGGGGGGGGGGGGATGTGTGTACGTGCAAGTATGCATGAGCTTGTTGGGCAATTAACCAGGCAGAGCGCCAGAGGAGAACACCCTACTCTGTCCTCCCAGCCCTGGCCTCATTGATCGAGAAGTGTCCCAGCGACAACAAGGACTGCAGCTCCTATGGCAGCTTCAGTGAGGCGGTGCTGGAACTCTTTAAGCTCACCATTGGCCTGGGCGACCTGAACATACAGCAGAACTCCAAGTACCCCATCCTCTTTCTGTTCCTGCTCATCACCTACGTCATCCTCACCTTCGTCCTCCTGCTCAACATGCTCATCGCCCTGATGGGAGAAACCGTGGAGAATGTCTCCAAGGAGAGTGAGCGCATCTGGCGTCTACAGGTGAGCCTGGCAGGGACCGTGGCATGGGGGTCTTCACGGGGACTCAGTTCAGCACGTTGTACCGACAACCGTCTGTCCCAGCAGACCTGGGTGGGGCCTGGGAATCTGCATCAGCTCCCTGTGGTTGGCCAGGTTTGGGGACATCTTAGTCTAGGTTCCTTGAGTATAGGGTCTAGGCAGTGTGACTGGACAGCTGCACAGTTGAGACGAACTCAGGCTATGGGCATGATCTGCTCAGACTCTGGTGTGATGTGTGGATGTTGAACCATGACCTTCAATTGCATTAAGAGGTGTATAGGGCATAGGATAATGGAGGTGACAATTCTGCATGCCTCAATCCTGGCTGCAACATTCCTTACCCGCGGGGGGCCTTACGCACAAGGACACTAACCCACAGGGTGGTCCAGAGTGGGTTACCAGGCTTGGGAGAGGACTGGAAACTGTGCCTCACAAGAAATGGTACTGGGACGAGGGTTGAAGAAGGTGAGAGTTTCTTCAGATATCTGCGGAGCTACTTGTGAAGGGACAGCTTCCTTCTGTGACCCCAGAAAGCAGAACTGAGGTACGTGGGCAATGACAGGGAGGAAAGCTTTGATTTGACACAAGGAAGTTTCTAATTATATTAGAGTCTTCTTAATTGGATTGTTGATTACATTCAGGAGAGATTTGACAAATTATTGACAGTTAAACTGCTGAGGGGTTTCCAAGCCTGGCATGCGGGTGGGATTACATGATGTGTGGGATCCCAGGATCCTAACATTTTCAGTTAGGAAGCTCCTGCACTTCCAGAAACAGTGTTTATGTTGTGTTTCAAGCAATTTGAACACCTTTCCTGAACTTGGTGGTTTTCATTTTTGAATTCTGTAGATCAGCTGAACCCTCGGCTCTGTGCATGAAGCATCCGCTGCAGTGGAGCTGGCTGTTTGGGGGTGTGTGCATGTACTTATGTGCGTGTGTGTGTTGGGGGTGGTGCCTGCACACTCATGCAGAGCTGTGTTCCTGGGCCGGCTCCTCATTGATATGCTTAGGCTCATTTATGTCCCCAGAGAGCCAGGACGATTTTGGAGTTTGAGAAGATGTTACCAGAATGGCTGAGGAGCAGATTCCGGATGGGAGAGCTGTGTAAAGTAGCAGAGGAAGACTTCCGGCTGTGTTTGCGGTAACAAAGGGAGAGGGGCCCCTTGACGGTGGTCTCTGGGGGGCGAAAGAGAGATGAGTCAGGGACTGTCAGAGAAACGGTGCTGCCGCTTGCTTCCCAAACCACAGCCACAGTCGGTTCTGGCCTCCTCAGTGCATGGAATTTCCTCCTCCGGGGTCACCAGCCCTGGGATGAGGCTTTCACCAGCTTCCGAAGGGAGAGGGAAGGAGGCCGCTGGGGACAGTCCCCCCCCCCCACCTGCCCCATGCAGTGGCCTCCGTGACCTCTCCCTGTCCACTGTCTGGTTCAGGAAAGATTTGCCGACCGGGCAGTCCTTGCCCTTCTGTCTGGCCTGCGTGGGTTCATGGGACACCAGGGGGCCTGAGGCATGCCTGTCACGGGCGAATGGACAGGGAGACAGCTACTTTGGACAGATACCAAGCTTTTGGTTTTTAAAAAGTATTTGCACATGCCATGACCAACTTTTCTGATGATGAGTCTACTTCATCCTCTCCCCGTCTGACTGCCTGACCTTACAGACTGCCCTCTGTATAACCTCACCATGCCCAGCTTCTCTGACTGAGACTCCCGCACCATGGAAACAACCATTTCCAGCTCTATAACCCTTATCCTAACAAATATCTCTAACGTTCACACCCTCATTCTAGAGATGTTCCCTGAACATGAACTTCAGCCAAACCGTTGCCTCGAGTTGCAATCTAGCAGCTTAGACTCTGCCCACTCTTATTGGGGTCTGAACCCTAACTGTTTTCTCCTAGTGCAGCCTTAACCCTAGTTTAACCCCAAGCTTCTAAACTTCTACAAGTTTCATCCTCACACTGTCACATCTCTTCAGCCTGGGCTGCCTCTCACCAGAAAGGCCCCAGCCGTTGCTGTCTGAAGATGTCCCTTGACACCTCTCTGAGTTTCTGGGCCCCACACACTGGGAAGGGACTGATCCTTTGAGGTCTGGGAAGATGGGGACTAGTGCAGGGTTTAAACCCCAACACTGCAGACATGACCATGTAAGGCAGGAGTCCCAGATCCCTGGCATGGACAGAAGGGCAGCTGTCTAGAACACCCCAAATGCCAGGCTAGGTGTTTGCATTTAATGAGGTGCAGTTGAGAAGTGGTGAGAATGATTATCACACTCGCAGGATCAATGAGGTGAAGTGGACTGAGTGGAAAACGCATGTCTCCTTCCTCAACGAAGACCCGGGGCCCGTGAGACGGACAGGTACTGTGTTGCCATCAGGAAGTGTGATGACCATGCCTGTCTGACCACATGACCGTAGGCAAACTGCGTTTTGGGGCCCTGATTTTCCCCATCTGCAAAATGGGAGGTTGAATTAAATGGGTTCTCAGGTCTCTTTCAGCTGTGACATTTTATAACCCTAGTTGGAATAACTTTTAAAAATCAGGTGCGGGGAAAGGAATTAGGTGGTGCGCTAGACATGGAACCCCCCATTAGGGAGCACCGCCTTTCTAAAATCGTGGTTTTGGTGTCTGGTTTTTTTTTGTTTGTTTGTTTTGTTTTTTAAAGCAGATTTCAACAAAATCCAAGATTCTTCCAGGAGCAACAGCAAAACCACCCTCAATGCATTTGATGAAATAGATGAATTTCCAGAAACTTCGGTGTAGAAGCAGAATCCAGAGCTGGTGTGAGCATGGGCCACCTGATGCTGCAGGCTGGGTCCCGGACTCCCTGCTGAGGGCTTGTGACGCGATGCGGCCTCACACTTCGTGCCCAGAGGCGGAAAGCACCCTTGTGCTGAGTCGGGGGCTGTACTGAGAGGCAGTTGTCCATCTGCTTGAGTGGGAAACACCCTGAATATTTTTTTACTCAGCAAAGGGTTGGTGTAAACCCATGGCCGGCAGTCCTGAGCCTGGAAGTCCCTGAAGTCCAGGGTGAAGCCCCTGGGCTCACCAACTGCAGGGCAGCTTGGCTGGAGGTGGGGGGCAGGGAAGGGGCAGAGGCCTGAGGAGCAGAACTTCCTTCCAGCCAACATCTCCTCCACAGTCCCCAGCCCTAGCCCACACGTTCCACCATCTCCCTTACCGTGACTGGGTCTCCTGAATTTAAGGGATTCTTGATCCCATCCCAGAACAAACAGGGGACTGAACTAAGTCGGACATCCTGGGGGCAGAGGGGACTGAGCTGTGGAAATGCCCGTCCGGACCCTTCAGGGACCAGGAAACTCCCCTCGGAGCGAGTGCCTTGGTACGCCAAGGTTCCAACTGTCTCAGACTGAGAGACGTTTTCCGTAGAGTAATTAACACAGGGTTTTTATTTTCAATAGAGAAAAGACATTTCAGTTTTGAGTGAAAGTTACTTCAGATGAAGTATGTGATTTTAAAAGCTGAGAAGCAGATTTGGGGATTTGGGGCTGGATATAAGTATTATATACTTGGCCTCAGGGTGGCCAGAGCAGGGACAAGAAGCTTTTCTTTACACACACAGAAGTGCACATGAGACGTGCCAGGCAGGGCCTGCGTGGGCTGCTGTGACGTGGGTGGAGGAGCTTGGCTCTTGTGTTTGTCCTGGCCCTGTCATCATGCGTGCCTCCCAGCTGGGAGCGGGGCTTCATCTGGCACGGAAATAGCAGCTGCTCTGTTTCCACGGTCTTAAATCTCAGAGGTTACTATTATACATCAGTACTTCTCATTGGAGGAATTTAACGAAATACCCGGAATGCTCTGGTATTAAATATTTTTGTTAACTGTGAATTTTGAGGCTGAGAAGGAGTGTGATAAAGGAGTGTTTGCCAAGACATAGGGCTTCTTTTTAGAGCCTCATCCTCTGACTTTTCTCCCCCTGAAATTACGCAGAGTCAGGCTGGGGCAGAGGTGAAGTGGGGATGGGAGACTTCTTCTGGATCACTGGAACCTAAACAACCATAAAAGCCACTCTGCCTTAGGTATCTGGTAAAAGGATTCATGTGGGAATTTTTGGAGGTGGAATTGCAAAGATATTAGACCGTGAGTTTTAATTTTAAAGGGCATAACAATAAATTTGGCCTTTAGACAACTTGGCAATTGGCTAGTGAATGTGACCTGAGGCAAACTGAGGAGTGCGGGCCAAGGAGTCCACTCTGGGCCCGTTTCTCCACTCTGGGCTGCTCTGTGTGCCAACTTCCCTGGGTGAGTGGACACTTGGCCTTTGTGCCCCTGATGGGTCAGGGCTGGGAGAGGGTGGGGTGGGTCAGGGACGAGCCTGAGACCTGCACAGTTTGCTTCAGCCCCTGTACTCCCAGCTGAAGCCGACCAGAGCTCTAAGCTGTGGTGGTCAGAGCAAGCTCTGGTGTGAGCAGGGGTAGCAGGGCCTAGGCATGTTCTCTGGAAAGGGAAGATTGGTGGAGGAGGGTTGTCATGGAGGCAGGAGGAGCACCTGTGTTCCAGAGGGGCAGAAACAGTGCCAAAGGAAATTTCAAGGACAAAGATTTTGGTTCTGTTCCATCTAGCAACTGCTCCAGATATTGAGGATGTTTAAGCAGAACTTATTTAGGGATGTTGTTAAGGAATCATGATCAGATGGACTTTGAGGTCCTTTTAGCCTGGAGCTCAGCATCCTGTATCTGGAGTTCCCTACTTGTATACATCCAGAGCAGATGTCCTGGTCTGAAGGGCAACCATTTGGATCCATGGTGCCCTGATCTAGGAATTCCAGAATTGTTCTGATTCATATACGAATGGATAAAGTCGGATAGCTCGCCATTTCCCATTTAAACAGAAGCTGGGGGTGAGGTGAATGGAAATCAATAATGGGATCTTGGTCTTCTCACACAACTGGAGAGCTGTTCTCTGTGGATCTGGATGGAATTTGTTGGCAGGGGCATTTTCTGTACCCGTATTCATCCCTGAAAGGCTTTCAGCCTAGATCGTCTGAGCCTGGGTAGGTTTACCAAGGTGAAAGAAAGCAATGAGTCAAAGATCATTGGTTTGAAAGGATCAGTTCCCTTATCTTATACCTGGAAACTAAAGCCCAGAAAGGAAAGTGGATTTGCTTAACACCATGCAGCCACGCAGAAAGTCACATCAGAACTGCTGAAGTTGGAGTGTTCTGACCTCTGGGCCACAGGTTTCTCCCAGCACCATCTGTTTTTTTAGCACAGTTATTCAGTGAATTTGAGCCCACCTTTGTGGTTGCCACATATGTTATGTCAGGGGGCTAAGGCTTTTTGCTCCGATGATCCATGTTGGCAGTCTGCATTGTCCCAGTGATCCCTATGACAGGCACACACACATGCACACACACACACACCACGCCACACTGAATCCAGGGGCATATCAGGACATCTTAAAACTTCATGATTTACATTTCAGTAATGTAAGGGGTAGGCATTTTCCAGGGATGGAATCTCCCGTGCTCAGATAATGGTTTTGGCTGGGAATTTTCCTTTGGCTAAACTGCCTCAGGAGGAATCTATTATTCTAGACGTTATGTGATGTATATATCTGGGATAAAAATAGTGCTTACCTTCCTCTCTGGGATGTAGCAGAAGGTGTACGAGATTGTACTGTGAAGTAATTAAGCTCTTAGAAGGCTCCTGCCTGAGAGAGCCCAGTATTATTAAAGTTCCTCTCCTTCCTCAAGGCCTGGTTGAACTGTGTCCTTTTGCTCTGGGTGGGGCCCAGGTCGATAGGCCGGGATAAGGCCTGTAAGCCATACTTGAGTTTTGCGTTGATTTACATGTTTATTCTGTGATCTTGGTTCCAAACACAGAATTGTCACCTTGTTCTCATGGAATGTGCCTGATCCTTGTCAATTTTAATTCACATACTTGGTCTTAGTATTGTGTGTGTGTGAAACTCTGGGTTTAATTAAGAAGTCACAGAGTAAGAACATTTTAGTGCCATTGAAGAAATGCTTTTATGATTTCTAATAAATATTTATTTTGCCTTGTTAAGATCGTGGTTTATCCTTGTCTTAGGTAAGACACTATGAAGACCAACTAGGAATCCTAGAGTGTTGCTTACTCTAAGGCTAAAGGAAAGCCCACTTTTTGGACCTGAAACATTATTATTGGTCCTAGCTCAGGGACAGAATCAGCACGCCGAGACAGGTCACCTTTGTATGGTGTTTACATCTCACAAAACATTGATGTCCAGTATCCTCTTTGAGCCACTCAACAACTCTGGAACCAGTTTGAGTAAAGGGGAACTAAGGGAGCTGAAATGACATGCCCAAGGAATCACAGCCAGAAACGGTTAGCGGCTCAGGCCACTTGACCCCCAAGCAGTGCTCTATCCAACATGTTCTGCTGGCTATCGACTTATTTTGTGTGGCTATAAAACCATGGCTCCACATAGAGACCAGAAAGTATAAATCCCTTCTGTTCACAGGACCTTTGTGAGGAGGCAATGATACTACTATCATTATTGGCCAACTTCTGTATATTCATTTGTAAAATTCTCTTGCGTTATTTCATAAGGATGGCAGTTTTTAACTTGAATGTCAAGACACTGCTGTGTCTTGATGGGCTGCAAAACTTGCAAACAGTTTATTAATAAGTGATCTGCTGAATTTGGTGGATTATTTACTTAATCCAAACAACCCCTAGAGTAACATCCTTCACTGGGATGTGTCTTCTTGGGTGGCAAAGAAATGGGAATTGTACATAATCTACATCCGAGCTCAGGTAAGCTTCAGCCTATAATCTAGGAATGTGCTTTCCACGGGAACATTCTGGGTGGACGGATAGAAAAACCTGTCATAGGATATATTCTGGGAGTGGGATGCCTAGGTCAATAGATATGAACAGTTTCATGGCTCTCAATATTGCGGAAAGTTACCTTCCAAAAGGTATTTTGCAACTTAAGCCTTTAAGATAGTATGTTTCCTATTTGTAAAGCTTTTCCAATCACATTGGTTATCTTAATAACAGTTTTATAGGTTTGATGAGTATTACATCCCCATTTAATAAGTGGAGAAATTGAGACTTGGAGAGACATGGAATGACACATAAAGGTCACAATGTTTTTTCCTGGGCCAAGGATCCAGGTTCTCTGAGGTTTACTAGTTAGTGCTAGTCAGTAGCGTCCATGACCTTGTATAACAGAGTGGTCTAGCCTAGCCTGAGTCACATTTAAGAATACGTCTCATCCAGGTAAAGGGAGTGTAGGGATGGGATAGGCCTTCAAGAAGAGGGAACAGTGTGGGCAAAGACCTCAAGGTACTAGGGAGCTTAATGCAGTTGAGGATGGAGGACATGAAATAAGGCTGGAGAGGTAGGCAGAGGCCAGAGCACATAGGACTTGTTCAGCTGTGGTGAGGTTTTGAGATTTCATACCAAGGTTAGAGGAAGCTACTAAAAGGTTTTACACAGAGGAATTATTAAATGTGAACATTTCCCTGTTTTTGCAACGGGATTGCAGGCTTAAAAGGGTGTATTTTCCGCCTGCCATCCTTTGGGACACAGTAACATCTGAGGAGTGTAGAATCAAGTGAATTTCAATTGAGAGTGATGGGTGTACTCAGGCAGTGGCTGGGGAGGAAGAAAAGAAGGCAAAGACATTGGTGGAATATGAAGACACTTCAGGTAGAGAAGGGATGTTTAAGTACACTCATTTAGTAGAATACACTTTATTGGGCGCTCATTAGGTTGCAGACACTGAAAAAGATACCAGTAATGTCCTGAAGA